TAGTGGCAGTAGAGAGATCAGGAAGCTCCCTCAGATTGTGGGAAGAACTCAAATCCATCCACTTGAGATTTCTAATTGTCTGTACAATGAAACAAATACGTTGATACAATTAGTCGTGAACTCATCAAAGAAAAACTACTGATTTCAATACCATTAAAACTTAATTCTTCCGCAATAGCTTTTTCTTTTCTTTTGCAGCTAAATCATATTGTACGAACATACAAATTATAGATTCGAAAGTTTTATAGAAACAAATAATAAAAAGAAGGGAATACTTACTTTATTTCCTTTCCACAATTTCTTAAGATTGCTGTCACGCATCTTCAGTTCGACGAGGAACTCCGGATTAAAATTAGAAGGCAGACATGTCATCCGAAAACATTCCCAATCTAGTAATCTAACTTTTGGAGGTAGATTGTTCAGACTTTTCCAGGTAGATCTAGACTGATTATAAAAGTAATCCACTAATCTAACTTTTTGAGAATTATAACTATCGTCATTGAGTCTCAAAAACTGGAGACTAGAGAATCTTTCCAAGGCTATGTATCTTCTATTTAACTCATCCTCGATCTCATAGACGTTGATAATTGCGCCTATAACACTTCCACCACTCTGAAAGAGAACACTAATACACATAAGTAACGATTATTAATTATCAAATTTCGTAAGAGAAGACTAATGTGGAAACTTACAACTGTATCATTATTCTGTACTGTGCATATATCTCTACCATCAACCAAAAACTGACGTTGTCCAGGGTCATGAATGGATTGTTTACGAACTATTTCTCTACCCAAACGTTCAAGCAAATCATGCACCTCTATATATCCAAATCTGTCAGATATAAGAGATTTCTCACGTAAGACACGAAGACCTTGCCTCACATTAGAGAAATCCTTTGCAAGATGCTCTTCCACTTTCTCAATCCGTTCATTGTTGAAAAAACAGGCTATATAAATAAATAAAGCTTTGTCTTCATCACATAAGGCATCGTAACTGAACTTCAAAATGCTCTCAATTTCCCCGTCAAGGCTTTTCCTTAACCTTGGTAGTTCTTCTTCCCACTCCTGCTTGGGCATTCCTTTCAAATAAGATCCCATAATCCTTAGTCCTAAAGGGAGTTTACCAGCAAGTTCAATAACTTCCCAAGCAAGCTCCTCAAAACCTTCATATGGGGACTCTTGACCAAAAGCATACATGCAGAAGATTTCAAGAGCCTCATCGTCACGTGGAAAATTTACCTTGTAAATATGGTCAACCCCAGGTGCATTCAAAAGCTTTTTATCTTGCGTTGTGATGATAATCCGACTTCCAGGACCAAACCACCCAGCTTCTTTGGCCATTGCATCTAGTTGCGCCGACTGATTCACATCATCAAGAACCACAAGCACTCTCTTATCTTTTAACCTGTCTTGTGCAACTCCTAGATGATGAATCTCGATATCTTTATGGTTGATTATTTGCGACAAGAACTCTTTCTGTAGTTGCAGTTTTGCGCTATACTCATCATAACCATGAATATTTGGATAGCGTCTTTTGATGTTCTCCATG